TCATGCACATCCACTGTTCTAGGAATGTAAAATCTGAACTTCTTTGAGGCAGCTGAGAATAACTCAAATGAAAACAAAAATTAGCCACACTTCTACGTGAAGAAGCTGTGTAAGAGATCATTTCAGCAAAGATGCTCATATAGCTCTTGAAGGGCATCTTCTAAACAGCTCAAGAGTAAAGTACTGCTCAGAGTTTTGTCAGTCTGTAGAGAAGGGAGTGTTGCTTTTAGCAGCCGTTCTTATTCACACTCTGTAATTCGTTACTCCGTCACCAGTCTCACCGAAATGGATAGAATTGCTTCTGAAGAACTAGAGGTGGGTGGAAGATCAGTATTCGCCCCTCAGTGGAAAGTGTTGTATATGGATGCCGGGAAACATATTGAAACATTTACCTTGGAGAGAGGAAAACTTATATAAAAGTTTATGCTAATAAACATGTAATGAGCAACTGCGGAAATGAAATTGGTTGAAGTGTATAAAGACAAAATAAATAAAACTAATAGCAGCTGCTGTGTCAGCGGCTTAGATTTGTTTCAAGTATGGGTTTATGTTACTTGAGGAATACTATAATTAAGATTAAGCAAGAGTCATGTGACAGGGAAAATTGTGAACTTTTTAATTAAAGACTGGATCAGGATGCATGGGCATAAAGGACCAACACAAGGTCAGGCAAGCTATCCTGATTCTGGCATTCCCTAAGCCTCAAATGCCTAACTTTGCAACCTTGATGTTTCCTTAGGCTATTTTGTCTTTGTAGCTACTTACATAGTGACCCAAAGCGCATGGACATTTTGCAGAAAATAGAGTAGAACTATAGCTGTCAAGTGATTGCAATCTAAATTTATACAAGTCGCAGCAGGAGCTAGTAACAAACAGTAGGGGTAACTGTTAAAAACATACTGCTTAGTGCTTAGGTAGCTGTGGTAACCATAGTATGTTCCTAAAAGTAGGTAGGAGACCAAAACTCAGGGAGAAGTGCTACAATTATAAGAAAGCTGGGAATGCTGGGAATCTGGCTGTGGCTACATTGAATGCACATCTTTGTGTGGTTGGATTTGTTATGGTCAAGTCATAAAGGATACGCATATTTGTGAAGATGCTGGCCCAGGGTTTAACAACTTGAATCAGTTCCAAGTTTGCTAACAAATTTCTTTTGATAAGGATAAGTCATTTAAGGGCAGATTTTTTCAAAGGCACTGACACACATAAAGATACAGTGAGGCCCTTCCCAAAATCTAAAACCTCCACGGGCAACTCCGGATGCTTCAGTTTCCCACTTGGACAGTCATATCCTATTAGTTGCTTGTCATATGCTCACACTGGTTTTGTCATTGATAAGTTCTTTAGGGCTAGTCTCCTTTTTGGATTTTCAGTGACAAGTATGAAGGATTCCTGATTTTGGTTTGGGCTCTAGGTGAAACTTGGTTGCAATTTTTTCTGCTCCTAAAATACTTTGCCATTACAGAAGATGACTTCCTGTCCTCATTAGGAATTAAGAGAGTCTTTACTTCCATGGCCTCTTTGAACTCTTGTTTATCCGCTTCCTCAAGGGCAGTACTTCTCATAAACTAAATGTCAAGTGGTGTGGTTTTACTTAGAATCATAGAATGTTTTGGGTTGGAAGGGACCCCTAGAGGTCATCTAGTCCAACCCCCCTGCAGGAGCAGGGACACCGCTAACTAGATCAGGTTGCTCAGAGCCCCGTCCAACCTGGCCTTGAATGCTTCCTTCATTGCATCACGGGCTTCCCTCTTGCCCCAAATTATTTGTCAGAGATATGTGAAAGTATGAATTCTTTGACTAGTGAATTGATTGTATAGAATATTGTGGCTCTCATGACATTTGATTCATTTCTTTATTTTATATAGGTCATATGCCTTTTCTGTGCATACCATGCCTCTACAGTTTGCCATGCAGTACAAGAGTACTAATGTGCTATGTGGTGAGGGCATTCAAATTAAAAGAAAGGTCAGGGAACTATGTGGTCAGTTGCAACAGTATGCATAGGGAAAACCAGACCCTTATAGAAAATTGTATCAGTATCATCCAGACTAATATCCTAAAGCAGGTAAGAAGTTACAAGGTGAAATTGTAGCCCATTAAATCCCTTGGGAATTTTGTGAGGATTTAAACTACAGTCTTTCGTTAATTACAGCTAAGAAGACCTTAGTTGTGGGGAGAGATTGGCAAGTGGAGAATCTTGACAGCTATATGCATTGTTAGACATAAGGATATATTTCTTTTTATGGATGTATATATATGTCCATTAGCAGAACAAATTGAAAGGCCTGAAAAATAGGCCTTGGGTTTGCAGTCCATTAGGTCCAGAGTAGACATGTTTTATTAAGCAGTTACCATCGAGAAAACATTGGGAAGTATGTAAACTTTATAACAAAAAACATTTGTGAGAGATGTAACTGACGTAGTAATAGCTTTTAAAAAAAAGAAAAGGAAAGAGGAAAATACCCTTCATGTAAAACTCGGAAGGAGGGCCTGTATTCTGTGCCACTTGAAACAGTTGTATCCTAGCAATTCTAGGTAATAATAATAAACATAACAAAAGTTAAGATGTAGTAGTTAAATGAGCCATAAAAATGAAGAGTCGGTAATTTGTATTGTATTGTGTCAGGTAGTCGGATTAAAATAAAGTAATGTTTGCACTTATTTGTATTTGGGAGAAAATGAAGTGTAGCTGTTTGAGTGGTGCTACATACATTCCACCCTGGAATGAAAATCACGTTGTTTTGACTGCGTTATTTCTGTATCCATGCAAACCATCCTCATCACTCTATAGTTCTTACCTCCTTAACGCAACCAGGGTTGTGTCATTTGAAATTAGTGGGTATAAGGCCCCTTGGAGAGATAAAGAGGAGCAGCGATTTGAAAAAATGAAATGCAGCAGTCAGCTTAAGAAGAAAGGGCATTTTCCTGGTAAATGTTTTCCTAAATGGGAATTTTTCAGTGTGGTGTTTTGCTCGTGTCTTTGGCAGTCACTTGGAATCAAGTGCAGACTTGTGCTACATTGTGGGCTTGGCAATGACAATTTGTGTGTGTGTGGTGCTTTAGTTATATTAGCCCTGGAGGCAGAGTTAACACTTGCAGTGGGACAAGAGTATTTGCAGTCATCAGAGAACTTTGCAGTCAGCTTCAATAACATCACTCCATTTTTTTCACTTTTTTTTAACATTTTTTTTGGCAGCAAAGCTCTTAGTAGAACCATCTGTCTTTCTATTAGTGTTTTTGAGTCCTGTTTTGAAGCTTCTTTGCTTGGCAAAGTCACTTTCATCCTTGGAAACCATTTAAAAAAAAGTTCTGTGGCTTTTTGCCGAAGAAGAGTACTATGCAAAAATTCCACACGGCTGTTCATTTTTGTTCTAAAAGAATACAGTCACTTTGTCTTTGTCTTTAAAAAAAAACCCAACAAAACCCAAAACCCTAAACAAAACAAACAAAAAAGAAACACATGAAGAAAAGGCAGACATTGGGCAGTTCTAGGGTGACTGAGTGGGGATAGGGAAGAAATTACATTTTTTATGTTTTTTTTTCTCCAGCAATCAAGTTAAAAGTACGTATGTCTTCTAGTTAACAGGATCAGAACAGGAGAACACTGAAGTAACAAAAAATGAATCAAGTTAGTTCAGTGAGTGGAGCTACATCTACTCTAGCTTCGGTCCCAACCTTAATCTCCCAGTGCAAGAATTTCAGTCAACAGCTCCTGAACTCCATCCTCGCAAATTGTTTCAGCCTATAAAGATGCAGTCAGCACACACACAGGTGTTGACAGGTCCTGGCAGAAATGAAGAGGTTACCTTCCCAAATTTCCTATCACTCTTTTGCCTTGTAACAGTGTCGGGTGAACCGAGACATCTCCTGGATCTTCAGGAGATTAAATTAAAATTAAAATTAAGTCAAGATGCTGTAGTCTGAACCATGTGGCAACCAAGGAGCTGGCGCAGGTTCTCTTTTGCCAGTTCTGCTATGCAGGCAATGATGAAGGGAGTAACACCTTCTCACGCCTCTGGCCAAAGAAGGTTATCTGTCAACACCCTAACTCTCCTTGTTTCTTAAGGCTACAGACCACAAACTAAATTTTAGTCTTGGATAATGTATCTGTAGCTCCGATGCCTTAGCTTTACAATGCCATTAGAAATCTAGATGACCTCTCTTAAAAAATGAGTCAGTCACCCTTTAGTGACTGATCTGGTCAGTACAGTGGGTTTTTTTAATTAAAACCAGCCATTTAACATTTTCATTTAGCAAACTTCTGGTTTCTCATCTGTGTGAAATACGAAGGAGATGTCCATTTCTAGCAATTAAACCTCTGACAGATCTGGGTAAAAGCAATAGTATTAGACGTTGTGCCATGGCCAACTTCCAGTTTTGATGACTAATTCTTGCATGTCCCCTGCAGTATCCACTTACAATATAATATTTTCCATTTCCCGACTTGCATGGTTGTGTACAGTTGCTGTGCAAAGTTGAACAGCTAACGCTTCAGACGTAGCTGTGTTTTATTTGCGAATAAAGTGTCTCAGCCTTTTTTCTTACCGTCTCAGAGACTGTATCTTTTCACACGTACAAATAAGTGCATGTATATGGGCAGAAAAGCAGCACTGACTGTGCTGTATGCTACTTATGCACTTATTTGTACTTCTGTGCGTGTGAATCTCTGTGTTTGGGCTCGGTCAGGGTGAAAGCACTGTCTGAGCCAGAGATGCTGTTACACAGTGCAATAAAAGAGAAGAAAAACCCACCCTGCAGTCAAAGAGACGTGAGGCATTATGGATTGCGGGGAGGGAGGGGGGGGATATAACTAATTGGGATATAGGTGTGCGTTAGTGGAATCTTTCGATTTATTTTGGAATTAATATAATTCATATGAAGTGCTCTGGTAATTAAGATGAGGCTGAGTGGTTGATGCTACTGGAACACCCCACTATGGAGGAGCATATTCAAACCTGACCTCTCAGATCAGGACTTAAAAGAAAGCATGTAAGCAGACATTTTCCCCAGAAAAAATTCCACTTTTTACCCTAGCAGCAGCTGCACAGCAAGGATTCCTTCTTCCTCCTGGTTTCAGCTACAAAGCGGGATGCAGTAAGTCCTGTAGATTTTTTTAGCTGGAAGTGGGTGTAGGGCACAACTTCACACCAATCCGTATAAAAGTGTTACCTCTCTTGCCAGATGGACGAAGCCATTAACTTGCACAGATGAGTGTAAAATAGAGAATTAGTTGGTATCGTACAAGAAAAGATTGTCAGAGATGAAGTATGTGTTTCAACGTAACAGCAAAAGATTCCACATGACAAGTAGATTTGTGCACCTTCTTTCTGACAGATCCTTTTGACAAGTGAACATGCTGATGACCACACATACGTACATACATCTGAAGAGAAGCTTATTTGAAACTTCCCAATAAATTTCAGCACTGCTGTAAAAAAAATAGATTTTTTTTCCTGAAGCAGCCTGCTTACTATTTGTGAACTGAGGGCCTATTCTAGTCTCTTTCTTCACACAGAACTCACATTAATCTCAACGGGGGTTCTGCACAGAGATCAAAGATAGCATATGCCTTTCAGTTTGATGGACTAACACAAACTATGAGTGTATTTATGAGAGCCCAACACTAAAAAATATAGCATCTACATTTTTAGTCTTTGAAAGATTTGTATTGTTCTCTATATTCCCCAGATTTTTTCGAAATTTTATTGAAGCCTTCTATAGGATTTCATGCTCCTGTCAACAGGATGATGATAAATCCAAGTTAAAGAATAATTGAGGAACTCCATTTCCATGAATAGACGTAGCTAGAGCATGAATTTTGCAGACTTGTTTTCATGCATTTGTGCTTGTATAACTCTTCTGACATCAGTTTTCTACTGAGTTATCTAGGACTTGCTTGTTCTACCGTTCTCTGTCTCTAGCATGGGTGTTCAGCTTTATTTTATCCATGTCAGTGTATCCATCTGTATCGTTGACTAACTCATGAATTCATCAGTTGTTTTGAGTTACTCAGGACTTGCCACTGCAGCGGTTTCGTAAAATGAGGGCATAAAAAGATTCCTTTAGTTAAACTGGCTTAGCCCACCATTTCAGATTTCTTTCAGTTTCTATAACATTGTAGATACAGTACGTGAATGCGAACTTGAGTTTCTTTGGCCACTAATCCCTTTTCCTAATATTTTACAGACTGGGACCACTACTGAAAATTACTGTTCAAAACACTTCACGTCCCTCAGCAGCTGCAGTGCCAAAGCATAGGCTCATTCAGTTCTTCCAGTGATTTCACACTCAGTCTTTCTCAAATGGGAGAAGTAGTGATTCACATTACAGAATGTTTAACTGAAAGCCACACTGCATATGAATGCTACCATAACTGTAGGCCTGGAAAAGGTCAGGAAAGCACCCTGTTAGATATATTTGGCAGATTAAATTGGTTGCATGTTAATGAAGTCTGGTTTGGATAGAGTTGCGGTTGGTTTTTTTCCTTCTTTTTACTCCATGTACATGAACTGTAAGACAGTCCTACAGTTCCTCACATTCATGAAGTACATATGACATCGCATGTTTTTGTAACCTTGAAAATGAGAAAGAAAAAAGAGCAAAGTTGCTGCTGCTCCTGGCAGTAAGGCTTGGAAATAACAGCATGCCAAGGTCTAGGACTGAGCAGAAGCCAGTGGAAAAAGACAGCTCTGTGTTTGGTGATTCCCTGGCATGTTTGACTGAATTTGACTGAGAAGCTGAGGAAAAGTGATAAGTAGTCCAAAGGATTTTTTTCTTTTTACTCACAGTTTAGTGTAAACAAAAAAGCATATACGGATTTAGCTACACCTAGAAAGCTTCTAGCAATGAAAAACGTAGCTGCCTTAAAACTGTAACATGTTCACATCAAGTAACGTTTTTGACAGTCCATTAAAACGTATTTCTCCCACTCCCTGCTTGCCCTTCTGTGTATCAGTCCTCTTGGCAAAGATGTGGTAGATTGTAAACCAAAGAGCTTTGGATAAAATTTTCTAAAGCACCTGAGTGATGTAGGAGACTAAATCTTCATTTCAAGAGAGGCAAAGGCACTAGGATCTAAGTCTCAGGGATATTTAGCAAATGTCTGTGCTGTAAACTTTAGTATGGTCACCTATGCTAGCTTGAACTGAGCTAAAGTGGGTACCAGTATAGCACTTCAACAGAGAATGTACAGTGGATTAATTTGCTCAGCTTCTCAGCACGTTAAATACTTAACTTTCAGTGAATTTGCTTTTGGAGGCAAGACCTTCATATGAACTTCTGAAGATCCCACTACCAGCATCTTTACCTGATTGCCATTGCATGTTTTAAATTTGGCTTATGTACCTTATGAAAATGAAACCTCACTTCTACACCTTCCCAGTCTCTTTGGAAAACCTACCCTTTTTTCTGGACTGATAGATTTTTGGAATAATTTTGCATGGTTTATTGACAGGAATTCTCAGTGGTGATTCTGGTATTTACTAGCATTAACAACCTATGCATAGGAACGACGAAAATCTCCATGGGACAATTCAGTTCCAGTCACAAATAAAAGAACTATGAAAATTTTCATATACCGCTGCTCAATAAAAGGGAGATTTGAAAATTTGGGGGAGAAGGAAGAGGGAATTTTTGGGGCAACCAATATTTTCATAGCTAACTAATGATGCTGAGTACCTTGGTTGTGGATATCCGGTTGGGGATACCTTCAAAGGGACATTTATACTCTTATGTGCCCTGGCCCTTTGAAAAGTCAGATCTCCGAAAGAGTATCTCAAATTCAGCAGCGTGCCGTCGGAGGCAGTGCAGATCTCTAGTCAGTAGTGCTGTGGGTCGCACCTCGTGGCTGGGTTCCTGGCCGTCTTCTATCTGCAGGCCCAGAAGCTGAAGAGATAACTGCCTCCCATTGCTCATCGCTGTGCCTCTAACTTCTGACATGCTGGCCAAGCTTCTTGGTTAAGCACTCCCTGACTTGCTTCTGTCCAGGCTGGGATAGCAAGGACTTTCTGTTAAAATAGCTTAAACTGAGCTGGCTCATTTTAATGGAAACATGTTGGGAAGTGATTAAACAAGCAGCTTGGTCACAGTGGTAACCTTTGGCAGGGGGCTGTGGTTGGAGATAGTGGCCTCTTCAGCCAGCACAGCTGCAGCTGGGAGAGAATATGTGATCAAGCCTCGAGGTCAGTGAAAGAGCAAAAATGATGAATATCTAGCTATACTGCTATTTTTCTTTCATTCAGCTTAGATAATGAAACCAAACTAACTTGTTCAATGCTTTCTGATTCACCTGTCCATGTTGGAGCAACAAAGCGTCAAATGTATGTCTCCCAGTGGTTTTAGAGAGCGTATGTGGTAGGATTCCTCAGCCAGTGCTTCCCAAATGGAGTAATGGCTTATCCAGAGAGAGGCTGTGAAAAGGCAGAGTACCAATTTCTCTACACATCCTTCCTTTTCTGAGGATTTGACTGAAGATAACACAAAAATAGTCACAACAATTTGTAGCAGGGGTCCATTTAGATTCCTCTCATGGCAGATATCTAAAGAAGAGTGTAAGAACAGGGCAAGATTGTACCGATGCTTTATCCCCCTATACTTCACCAGGTTCCAGTGGTTGGGGACTCAGGGACCTTCTGACCCAGTGGTGGCCTCGCTGTGTGGGAGCTGTTCCGTCTGTTACTGAAAACAAAGAGGTTTCTCTGCTTGGGTTCCTACCTGATTTGAAACACTCTAGGTGGCTGAAATGCTCAAAAGAATACAACAATATCAATCTCTAATATGTGCAGAGCAAGTTATTCACTTATACTTCTCCAAATATTTTGCAAAATTGGGTAAATACAGGGAGGAGAGGGGTAAATATTTTCTCCATGGTTACATGGCAGGTCGTGGTCTTTGGCTTCCAATTCGATGTAGTAAATTTCCTTTTCTTTCTTTTTCTCAGTAGCAGATCATGCTTGGGAGTGGCTTGGTTTTTCATTTTGTTTTGTTTTTTAAACAGATGGTTTGCATTACATAAGGGACAATTTACACAAGTTGACACTTCCCCTTTTTTCTCTATGGCATATTGTGTGGTGGTAAAGTTGGCAGAGAAAAAGGGAGGAACTTCTATTAAGATTACATTTCTATTTGAGAAAAAGATTAATAATCTATGGTTCCAGTTGATTGTTAACCTCCATACCTAGATATAATTGCATGGTGTGTAAAATATTTAATATTATTATTTACAACCAAAGCATTTTTTTTCATATGAGAAAAATGAGTTGACAGTATGTGGTGGAGTGTATCGTCCATAATTAGCAAGAAAAATACTGATTACCTACTTGCTACATACCTGGTTATCCATTCACTGTGTGCTATTTGGAATTCAAGTATTTTGATTTTTCTGCAACCTCTTTATATGTATTTTATTATATACATAATATGTAACGTTTATATAGATATATAACGCAAACCTCTTTATACAGAGTTAATGTTTTGAAGAGGGGTGTTAACTAAGTGACCTGTGGCATGAGCAGATGCTAGGAGTTAACCCCAGTACCTGAAGTATGTTAATTGGTTTTAGCTCCAGGTGAGCTCCTTCTATTTTGGCTGATGTTGAAACCAAACAAAGCCCGATGACTGCATTTCCCAAACTGTGGCAAAGCTTCTCCCACATTTAGGTTATGTGGATCAGCTCCCGTCACTTAACCCTTCTCCTTCTATTGTCAGCCGGCATTTCTTAACCCTATAATTTGTTACTACTGCTATTACTAGTTCAGCTTCACTTGTGATACTTGCTAGATAATATACATGACTGCCAGCATTTTAGCAATGGTGAGTGAAATGTCAGCTCTGCTGAGGTCTGAGGAGCTGTTGCTGTTGACTTCACTGAAGTCAGATTTCGCACCAGATGATACAGATCTGCTAGGGCCACTCTTAGAAATAATTAGAATTTGTTTAGAGCTAATTAATATTTGTGAAGTGCTTTGAAAGTATAAAACCAGTGTAAGTGATAGAAGATAAGTTTTGTATTGTGCCCTTTGAAAACTGCATAGTTCCACCTCAGAGGAGGCTGCTCTGCAGTCGTAGGTAGTGTGACGCTTTTATTAATGCACATA